GTCAAAAGCATGATTTGTTAGACGTGCTGCCAGGGCACCAGATCCAGACGGTCTGCCCCAGAAATCATCCTTGGACCTTTCTGTAAAGTTAGTATTCCTGCTGCAGGGCCGTAAAAAGATGGTCTTGTTCTCTCTGATGGCAGCCTCAAAGGACAGAGGCTGCCTCCACACTCATTCGGTTTCCCTTAGCCAGCCATCATGCTTGTCGCTGACAAATTTCTCTCAATGGTTTTCAAGCTGCACCAATTTCCCTCCTTCACCTCTCCTTAAGGCAGAGGTTGCTCCCTTATTTTTCCAAGTATACCTCCTTTAAGCTTTGGGACACTGTGGTCCTGGGAGGCTGTGTGGAGCTGTGTTCATGCTTTGGTGGTGTCAGGCTGATCTAGCACCAAGCATGAGCTCTGTGACCGTGAACACATGCCTTGAACTCTCTGAGCTTCAGCTTTTTCATCTGTGGAATGGGAATAACAATAGTAGTAGTAGTAGTAGTAGTAGTAGTAGTAGTAGTAGTAGTAACAGCTACTTCACTGGGTTGTTGAGCAGAAGGAGTGAAGTAGGGCACATAAAGTCCTTTGCATAGTGTCAGGCATAGAATAAATGCTCAATAAGTTTATTATTTGTCCTCATAAAGTCTGGAGGTGGAAAAGACCAACCCATAGAAGAATGGGATCTTAAAAGCTGGCAAACTACAGGGTTGAGGGAGGGCTGGGGCCTCAACCAAGACGCATAGGCAGGACTGTAAGCACACGGGGAGCCTGGAGGCAGGGCTGGTCCTGTTAGTCCAGTGCAGGGCTTCTCATCCTCAGTATGATTGACATTTGGGGCCAGATAATGCTGTTATTGGAAGCTGCCTGGGCATGGTATGATGTTTAGCAGCATTCCTAGCCACTACCCACTAGAGACCAGAAGAAGCCTCCCAGTTGTAACAATCAAAAATGCCTCCAGATATTGCCAACTATCTTGTGGGGGACAAAATCACCTCCAGCTGAGAACACCTGCTCCAGCAGATAGAGTGTGACAGGCTCTGTTAGTCACCCGGCTCAAAGGAAAGCATTTGTCCTGGCAGAGTGGGTGGGTCGGCACGTGGCAGAGCCAAGTGGGAGGTGGTCAGCTGCAGGCAGCCTGGCAGCAAGCACTGGGAGGCGTGGGTCTGGGCTAGGACCCCAGCTGCTGGGAGCCCAGCAGTCAAGCAGGGTCAGATCACAGCTCATATGACATTGAACTTGGGCACAACCTATCCAGAACTAGGACTGGATCCAGGATCTGTGCAGAGCCAAGCCCTGGGGAAGAGGGTGAGAGCTTACCTGGAAGGTCATCCTTCCTCTGGTGACCTCTATGACCTCTAGCTGGAGAGCACAGGCTTCTGAGTAAGAGAGACCTGGTTCAAATGCAAGCTCTGCTATGTGGAAATTAAACCCAAAAGATAAAGAGAAGAGAAAAGAAGAGGAGAAGGGAGGGGAGGGGTGGGGAGGGGAGGAGAAAAACCCCAGACATCACCACTTAAAACAAGGACACCACCTTAAGGAGGTTGCTTATCCTGTAAGCCTCAGGTTCCTCATCTGTGATATGAAGATGAGAATGCCAGCCTCACCTGGTTGTGGAAAGGATCAAATGTTCTGTTACAATGACCGAACTTAGCATTACACTTGCCACATAACGGGCACTTAGTAAATGTTGTTGATTGAATGAATGAATCCTTCTGCAGCAAACCTTTTTCCCTTAAATCCTTCCATTAGTTTTAGTTCTCTTGGCTGGAATTTCCAGCTTTCTAACATAGGAAACTGTTGACTTCTCAACAGGAGGAAATGAGTTAGTTATTCATCTCTGTGTTACAAGAGCTTAGCAGCAAGCCTGGGAGATATTAGGTGCTTACAAAATTAAGTTTTCCTTCCTCAAAGGAAAATGTCAGTACCTTATTCATCACTTTATAGTCATAGCCCAGCACAAAAACTGACATGGCTGGTGATCATTAAATGTCTGTTGAATGAATGAATGAATATACAAAAAAATGATTAAAGAAAGTCATGACTCAGAACACTACCCCAGGATTCTCTCTAGGAATCCATTCCTGCATGTCCAGTTATAAGGGACATTGCTGCTTACTAAAAGGAGGTCAGCCAACCCCTGAGAAGGACAGCAGCGTCCCCGCCAAGGCAGTGGGTGACAGAGGAAGATCTCATGATAAACGTTTTTGTCTCAGGCAGCTGCTGGGGACCCTCCTCTGGGGGCCACTGCTGGCTGCTCTGCTCCCCCCGGGAGACTGGGACAGAGTTCATGATTCTCCCTGCAGCAGCAGGCATGGGGTGGGGTCCTCCTCCCTCAGGATGCGGCAGTATGGGCTCTACCTCTGCAGGGCAAACTACACGGGCATAAGACATAGTATGGTTTCTTAGGAAGACCCATGGCTAGGGAGTCAGGAGACCTGGGTTCTGCTCCCATCCCTGTCAGCCATCCACGCAGTGACTCTGCATGGTCATTACCTCTGTTTTCCCATCTGTACAATGGGGACTTGGTGATGCTTGAGACAATTATATCCTTTGGTGCCTGGTTAGAGAGACAGGTCGGTCCACAGCCATGTTACTGAGCAAGTGGCTCCCATGGGAGACCACCCAGTGACATCAAGACACTGCTGGATTTCACAAAGCCACTTTATACTGCAGGGCACTAAACACAGCGTTGGGTAAAGCGTCTGCTCTGAAATCTAGAAGTCTGATGGAAGCTGGCAGGGGCAGGGCAGCAGCTAGGTTTTTCCAAGGGAGCTAAAGTTTCTAGGGGGACCTCTTAGGATCATCACTGACAAGGGGAGGGGAATATTTCTGTTAGCAAAAGTCTTTTTTATAACTTGCCTATTTCTCTTCCCCTTCCTAAGGCACAGGATTAACTGACAAATAGGTGCTTTCTTTTTGCTGAAGTCCATTAAGGGTGGGTGGGGGAATGCTTGCCTGGAAAAGCTCCACAGGGCCAAACTCCCTTGCAACAGAAAAAGGAGCCCGAAAAGAGAGATGAGAGGGCTGGGTCTAGAGAGAGGAACCGTGGAAAGGGGTGGAGAGGGAATGGCTTTGTGTGCAATTTGGGGCAAGCTGAGTTACTTCTTGGCTGAGAGGCATGGAGAGAGTTACCGTAGTGAAGGGCCTTGAGGGAGTAACTCAGCAGTTCTATGCCTCAGTTTCTTCATCTGCAAGGTAGGGACAATAAAACCTTCTCCCTAAAGGAAAATACTTAGAATTATGCCTGGCATGTAGTAACCTATATAGGTATGTACAGTGACGATGGTGGTGATGGATATAAAAACCCTTGAAATCTTCAGTAGAATTTATATCACTGAGGGGTAGACTGAGCGAATGGCTCTCCTGGGACCCAGCTGAGCGCCAAATCCCCTATCGGTTGCCCCGCTACATCTGGTTACATCCATGCAGCCAAGACTGCTAACAGCAGCCAGGGCTGTCCCCGGAGCTCTGCTGCATGACCAGGGACTCCCCAGAGCCCGCAGCACTGGGGCCGGGGCCTGTCAGGACCGGAGGGTATGGCCATCTGCCCTCCATGTGGCCGAACCATCCAAAAATTGCCGTGGGCTGAACTTCGTCACTGGCCTGCTTCTCGTGAGGACACTTCCCTCCGGCAGGAGGTGTGGGCTTTCCAGATGGGCTGGCCCCTCTGGCAAGCTGTCCTCGAGGGGATATTTTCAGATTCTGGGTGACATTCTCCTGCCCCTCACCCTAATAGGTCCCAGGTGCTCCCCTCCACCTCCCCCGCTCCCGCTGTTCCGTAACCCTGTGTGCTGGCCTACAGGGCTGCTGGGGACTCGCCCAGTCACTGCACCTCTTGACTTTTTTTTTTTTAGCTTAAAACATTTTGTTCCCCCTTAACATAATGGCTTGACAGAGGCCAGCATCAAAGAGGCGGTTTCCTCCTGGATGGGGACCAGGACAGAGAAGCTGGCACATGAAGGTGGAGAGAAGGAAGCTGGCTTTGGGAATGTGAGGAGCAAGGGGAAACATAAGGAGTCTTTATTGGCTGGGCATAAAAGAAGCAACCGAAGTAGCAGCTGTGTGAACGTGGCCAGGTCGCCAGGGGTTGGGCAGACGCACCAGGCCCAGCTGGGAATCCCACAGGCCCCGGGGGTTTCATGACTCATGTTCTGCAGAAATACCTTCAAGTTCATTATCTTTCCTGGGATGCTTTTCTCTCCACCCATCCTCCTGCCTCCTTTTGCAGAGCATTTGAATTTGTAATTCTCGGCCATTGTCAGTAATGAAATAGGGCTATTGCTGAGGCCTGTGGGAGGGAGGGGGGCAAGTGGACACAACCAGGAGAAAAGGGAAGGGGAGGGAAGAGGAGAGAAGAGGAGGGGAGGGATGGGAGGAGCGGGGATGGTGGGGCCAGAGCACAGAGTTGGGTGGTAAGAAAAGAGGCTGTGGGCAGCACAGCCAGGAGGGCAAAAACGCCTGACTCACAGTTTAACAGAAACCAGGACAGGCCGATAGACATCAGGCAGAGAACAGAATGAGAAACCTCCTTCCGCCCCTGCTGCTTCCCTCTTGTTTTCCATTGCGTTTCACTGAGGCATGGAGAGGACACCAAGCCAGCTAACGGTTTCAGTCTCTTTAGGTTCCCGTACGCTTTTGACCTTTTGCAATGGGCCTCGGTGCCCACCGCCCCGGGTTCCCCCGGGCGACCGTGGACCCGAGCTGGGGCGCATCCCCAGGAGCCCGTTCTGTGGGGCGGAAAGCTGAGGCGTGGAAGGGGCTGTTTGGGAAGCCAGGGCCCCAGCAGGGCTGCGCCTGGGGCCCAGACCTCTGGATTTCTCATCCAATAATGAAAATTTGGAGATGAAATAAAGGGAGAAGAGATTACATTGGTGAAAGTGGGCCAGGAAAATACAAACTTTGAAGACCAGATGGAAACCCCTCCGCCGAAGAATTCTTGGACGCTGCTTCTGAGGCAGCCCTCGCCGTACTTTCACCAATGACACTGACCCTGGCGTTTTCTCTCTTTTCCAGGACCTCCTGTAAGTAACTCCAGCCACAGCCCGATCTCACACGTCTGAAAGGCCTTGCTCCCTGCTGGTAACCGGGCCCTGGGTGGGGGGACGGACAGCTGTCTTCCAGGGGAGCCCCTACGCCCTTCAGAGTCTGCGGGGCCCCTCCAGAACAGAACGCTGGCACGGGGAAGAGGGCTGCCATTTTGCTGTCCACGCCCTCTGCATCCCTCCGGAGCCAGACGATGGCTGCCCCCAAAGCAGGTCCCAATTTCAATCTGAAAGGCTGGCATGCCCCATTGTTAGCCTAGCTCCTTTGTCCCCCAAAGAACTGGAGTCAAAGAAGCACCGGGTATTAAAAAGAAGAAAGAGATAATCTCTACTCAGGTTTGGTCCTTGGAAAGTCTCCTGCCCATTCAGCAAACAGGTCAGTGAGCGGCTCTAAGTGTGGACTAGCCCTGAGGACGTGATGTCCATGCTGCTCCATTCTAGCCAAGCCACTTTGGGCAAGTAGTGATGGTTGTGGTGGTTGTTGTTGTTGTTGTTGTTGTTAAGAGAGCAGTGTTGACGGGTTAGATGAGGAGACAACACAAATTATAGGCAGCGCTCCGCGCACCTTTCCCTGGCCTCGCCCTAAGGCCTGGGGCGGGGCGGGAAGCCAAGTCCTATCCAGAGAACCTGAGAAGCGTTCAGGGAGGCTGGTCCCCGAAGTAACAGATCCAGAGAACAGGAGCGTGTCTTCTTGAGGACAGCATTTGATATCCCAACAAAAGACCCAGAGGTCGCAGGGGCAGCTGCAGACTGAAGTTGAAAGGGCCCAGCCCTCGGCATCAGATCTTTCTCAAGGTTACTGAAAGCAGCCGGGTTTCATCCCTGCCTTGGAGAAGGGAGTTCCATAGTTTTTTCCCTCTTGACTCGTACCTGCGAGAGCAGTCAGCTCAACCTGCAATAAGACATTATTTACTCTCCCCTGCGTGCCCTAAGCGGCGCATTGAGCCCGCTGCCCGTGCTGCCCGGCTCCCTGCCTGCTGACTTACGGAGAGGGCGGAAACTCCCTGAAAGGAGCGGATGATTTATCATGGCATGTCTTGGATGTCAGATCTCAATTCCTGTCATCAATCTTCCAAAATAAACTCCGCCATAGGAAACTTCGACAGACCACCTGCTGGAAATGGGCTGGTTTCCCCCCTTTTTTTGACAAAGCCAAAAAAGAGTCCTCACCTCCCCCACTCCTGGGACCTCCCCCTCACACTTCCCACCGCCGGGCTGCTGGGCTGCCCCGGCAGCGGCAGCGCAGCTCTGGGTCCCTGCAGCAGCCTGAGAGCTTCTGCTGGCCTCGCCTCGGGACTGTTCCCAGCCAGAGAGGGTGCTGCCTCTCCTGCGGGCTCAGCGGTGCGGGAGCAGATGAGAGGGGTTGCATCTGAGTCTCTCCTTATAATCCCTGCCCACCTGGCCACCCCCAGAGTCATCGAGTAACAGGGAAGAACCCAAGTAGCTTTTCCACATTCTCGGTCTGACACAGAAGAGTCCTGAACCTTTTAACTGTGGCTGAAACCACAAGGCAGGAGAAGGAGGAAGTGGGAAGCGGACCAGGTTGGGACTCGCCTCCTAGGCCTGTTCTCTCTGCTTCTGCAGAGAAAGAATGCCATTGGCCGGAGGTGAGGGATAGGGAGATGGCAACTTGTTGCAATGCCCCTCTGCTGCCCTCTGGTTGTATCTCAGGGGCCTCTCCTGCAGCGGCTCTGTCCTCCAGCTGGAAGACCCAGGCTCCCATGGGCACAAGGATTGCTAGTGCTGAGAGAACACAGCCATGGAGGGTGGCTTTAAGTAGCAGCAGGAATCATTTAAGTGGTACAAAACGTGTGGCCACCAACTGCCCACCTCCTCATGCCCATGGCAGACATTGCTAATCAATTCGGAGGCCTTTTAACATAGTGCTTCAGTCACTCCATTGGGGTCCGCACTCACGCTGACATCTGCTGGCCGTGCCTGCACTAGATTTAAGAGAGCATTTCTTAATTACGGAAACTGTGAGAGTGGAACAGATGACTAAGGGCAGTAGGGATGTCTCTTTCTCTGGGGGAATATGGGGAAATATATGATGTCCAGCTGTCAGCACTGGTTGAATGTGACCCTTGAATGTGATCAAGGCCCTCCCTTCACTTTGCTCATAAAATAACACAAGGTCACAGACAGAGCACAAGTGACTCCAAGGTCACATAGCTGGTTGGATGGAGTGGAACCATCAGGTATTACAGTGCTCATTCCTTTGTAAATGTCACTCTTCCCCCTTCATTTCAGGGTCCTATTGGAAGACCTGGCCTCCCGGTAAGCAGCCTTCATTTCTTCCTCCTTCCAAATCTCTCTCACGTGCTCATTCTCAGTCCAAGGACTGGCGAGGTTGGGTGGCTGCTTCCCTCTAGATGTACCTGGGTGTGAGGCCTCTCCCCAGCTTCTCTGACCCACAGCTGAGAGGCAAGCTCCTCCGCACCCTCCCGGGGCCCCAGACAGGCAGACGACAGCATGCAGGCCCCTCCAGCACCGGACCTGACTTCCGACAGACAGCCCTACACCGGAGGCCCAGAAGGGGTATCCTCCTGCATAGCAACTTAGGTTAAGACCACTGCCCCTGCTTTGCCCTGTGTCCTCTGGTGAGAGGAAACTCAAAAATGTTGTTTTCCTCCCACTTACCATTTCTGAAAGCTAGAGAGGCCATGCCAAGTAACCGCGGGGGCTTTGGAATAAAAATGGAAATAATAGTAATAGCAACCTCTTACTGAGACCTTAACATGTGCCAGGCACTATGCCAATCACTCTTCATACATTTTATTTGTTCAATGACTCAGTGAATTAGGTATCATTATGCCCATTCTCTAGATGAGAAAACTGAGACTCAGAGAGATAAAAGGCCTTGTCCAATTGTCCAAGCTTTCGCTGTAAACCTCTTGGAAGCCCATATTATCACACGTCATTCCATACTGCTGTCCCCTGTGGTCCGTGCTCCAAGTCTGAGAACCATTGATGGCTCTGTGAGGTACAGCCAGGGACCAATACACATTGAGTACTGGCTACTGTGGGCCATTGGGTGCGGGGGGGTGGGGGGGCGGGGACTCAGGCAAGGTGCTGTAGCCAGCCAGAGGGCCGAGGTGAGGGGTGGCGTGTGACCCAGGGCTGGCACCAGTTTGCCTTCCCTCCCTGGGCCGAAGGCCGCATCCATTGAATTGCACACCCTCTGGGCATCCTTCTTACCCCAGTTCCTCCTCTTTTGACATGAATTATACTGTAACCTCGTGACTAATCCAACAGCTTCTAGAATTCATGTCCAGCAGTGATTTTCTTAATGAAATGCATGTGGGAGAATATTTAGCCTTGAAAATGGAAACTCTCCCAGTAAGTCCAAGCCCCGAAGCAGAGGAGGATGGGTGAGTGGGTCCCATGAAACCCAAGGAGGGAAAAAAATCAGATGACTGGGGGGAACGTGGGCAGACTTTGTTTTTTTCTGACGACATCCATCTTTAAAAAGCATTTGGGGGCAATTCACAGAGCAGGGGCTGCTGCACATAGTTTCCAGTCTCTGGCCATTCCACGCCCGTCCCGAACCCGAGCGTTTTATGGCCAGGACTGCAAAGAACATTAGTTTTTAAAACGAAATGAGAAGAAACCCAAACACACATCCTGTAATATCATTCAAAAGCCCAAGAGTGAGTGGGCCGTGGGGATGTCACACCCGACGTTCAGTGGGCCCGGTGTCCTCAGCGGCAAAGGCCGCTGACCCACAGGTCATGGGTCCTGCTCACACTTCTGCGTGAAGGGACCTGGGAGTGACCCACAAAGGATTCGCTGATGCGGGCCCCTTGTTGTGAAATGCAAAATGTGTGAGTACAAGCATGCTTTTAAAATTCACTTGCCCCCTGGGCTTACTGCCCATAGCTGCCATCTACACAGCACTCCCCAGGTGTCGGGCCCTGGGAATAAGCATTGCAGAGACATCACCTCACGGCAGCCTCCCAGCAGCCCCACGAGAGAGGTGCAGATGCTCAGGGAGGTCAAGGAAACAGATCCAGGCTTGTGACCAATGCTGCCACCCTGCCACACAGCCAAGGCCATCTTACTAAAGGGACCCTTGGTCTCGACCTGGTACGTGTCACAAGAGCCTAATTTCAGAGCCAATCGCTATGTGCTGGCACGCTCGCATACATCTTGGGATGCTAATTGTCCCTCAAGGTGTTTTGCCTCAATGGGGCCAGCGCAGTATCACCCCAGAAACGCCCACGCCCTTCAGGGGAACCCACGAGCCCAGCTCTCACCTGCCCAGCGGGACGGACGCCAACTGATTTTTCAGCCCCCACTGCTTTCCATCTTTCCAGGCTCCTAGCAAACCCCAGACCCGCCCCAGAATTTATGATGTCTGCACACGTATAATTGCAAAAAAATATTTTCTACCAAAAGGGGGAGGACCAAAACTTAATAAGCGGATTTCCAGAGTGAAAAGATGTAACCCCTGGCTACAAAACAAAGCATTTCCCTCTGTGCAGCTGAAACTCGTGATGCGGCCGCATCCACATGGCTCACTCCTTCCTGTTGGTATTGGGGGTGGCCGAGAGGAGGGGTGTGTGGAAGGACCCTGTCCGTAGCCTCCTCAGCTGGAGGGTATGGACACTGCTCCCCAGCTTTGGCAGAGACAGACCTAGGGAAGTGCCCACCTGCCACATGGGAGCTGCCACTCACCCTGCTCTGTGCCTTGAAATTGAGGGTGACAAGGATGTGGTACGTTCTGTCTGTAGCTGGAATGGATTGCAACAACAGAAGTCTAAAGGAGGAAGAGCCTTGGACCCTTATGGAACCCATAAGGAAACTGAGGCCCAGGCTGGGGACCAGACTCCCACATTAGTGCTCTTACCACAGCAGCATGCCCGGGTGCAGATAGCAATAGGGGTGGCTGCTTGCCAAACACTCCGTGGGAGCTGAATGGGCAAGTTCGCTCACACGATGCCTGGGCATTGTCCCAACTGCTCATGCAAAATAGGTCTTGGGTGCACAGCTAGCCCATGGGGCCCTTCACATGCTGGCCCTGCTCCAGCCACATCTAATTGTCTCTGCCTCCTTCATCAGGGGGACAAAGGTGCCATTGGGATGCCTGGACGTGTGGTGAGTTGGCGCATTTTTACCTGCTTGGGTGGCCATCGCTTGCTTCTCCACGCTGGCCTGTCCTCCAAACCATGGCAAGGTGTCACCTACCCCAGCCAGGGAGAGGGGAAAAGGGGGACTAGACCTCTCTCTTCCCTCGCCAAAGTCAGCTTCAGAGAGGCACAGGCAGGGAGAAGGGAAGATGTTTTATTTCAACGCTTCAGATCTTGCAATGTGGCTTTATTCTCCAGAGAGCTGACGTGGCAAAGGAAAAACCCAAGAAAAAGCATGAATAAAGCTCTTTGCCAATCACCTACTGGGAGGGCAGGGTGAGGCCCGAACCCCTCTTGACATTGACTCACTTGACATTGACTCTTGACTCACTCCATCCCCAAGGCTGGCAGCTCACCCTCAGATTTTTAGTGGCTTCTGTAGCCCTCCCTAGCACCACCCCAGCAAGAGCACCAAAGCTGGTGAGAATTGCAGCCCCCAATGCTCTGTGGAAACCACAGTGGAGCCAGCTCCTGGAGGCACCTTCCCTAGACAGAGACTAGAAGGCAGTGAAGGCGGGGTTTGCCCCAGGTAGTGCTTTTAGATCCTCACCAGGAGGCTGATTCAAACATTTAATGTTTCCTGCTGAAAAATTAAGATGGCGAAAGGGAAACAATGTTTGACAGGGCGAGTGTATCTCAGCAATGGGAAGTTCCGACACTAGGCCTTGAGGTCCCAGTGCTAGGGATTGTCCTGGTGGCTTCCAGTCTCTGAGGGGCTAGAAAGAGCAGGACAGACAGAGGCTGGCAGCCTAAGGCAGTGACGGCCATATGCCAGCTTCACCACCATCCTGTCTGACCCCTAACTCCCCATCTGCCATCAGCCTCGACCTTTAGCCTGGCTCCCAGGCACCTCTGGTGACCCCATGCCATCTTTTCATGTTGCTCACATGCTTTTCCTCATAACCTCACCTCCCGGGCTGGTTGGCTTTAGGCCCTGGGTGCGGCATCCTTGTGTGAGTTTGCTTGCTGGTGTGAGCCTGGTGCTCGGAGAAAAGGCATCCAGACCACAGCTAACACTTGAGAGTGCTAACTGCGTGCTTGCGTTGTGCTAAGAGGCTTACACACATTCAGCTCATTCGGCCCTCACACAGCTGCAGGGGCTGGGCACAGTTCCCATTCCCATTTTTCAGATGAGAAAATGGAGGCTCACATGTTAAGTGTCTTTCCCATGGTCACATGGCCAGGAAGTGGCTGATCAAGGACTTGAATCCAGGCAGCCTGACTCCAGATCTCTGCCCTTGACCTGACAAAGCTACTCCCGCTCCCCAACATTGGCACCATGGCTCTACAGAGGGTCTGATCCTTCAGGGGAAGCCACAGTGCCTAGGACATTTCAGAGGTTCAGGGCAAGTGTTCCATGTGGCAGAGCTTTGAGCTCCCCGAGGCCCTCCCACGGTCTCTCTGTCAAGGTCGGGAGGCTGGAAGCCCTGGGCCGCTCTGCTTGAGGCTATCCCACCACTTCCCAGACCACAGAGCTGTGGAATTCCTGCCTGACCCTGTCGCTCTCCTTCAGTTCTCCGACTCCAAACACAGAGTCCTCCAAATTGCCAGTGGGTCCTTCTCTGTGTAGAGCAGGGAAACAACATTGAGGCAGCCCTTCTCAGAGGCTGGCTGTGGGCGGGCCTGAGCCCTTCACATTCTCCACTGTAGCCCTCCAAGACCTCGCTTCATTAATGGACACGCTGAGACTCAGCCAGCCCAGGATTGGGGTGGAGTTGGGTTTTGTACCTAAACTGACTGTCAGACTCCAAACTCTTTGCTCCTAGCAGATAAGCTTCAGGAAACTCTACTCTTGAGTGCAGCTACCAGACTGCAGGGCAGGTTGCAAAATGCAAAGCAGTCCCTCCAGGCTTGCCCCCCACTGCTGCCCCTCCTGCCCTCTTTCTTGGGCCCTGGGGACATGTTTCCCCCAGAAAGTATCCATCTGAGCTAGTTCTGGCCCACAGTGGTGTGACAGGAGTGAGAGCCACAGGAGGTCTCCCCATTTCCTTCCATACAAAGCTGTTTGCAAGCTGGGGGTATCATGCTGCTTGTGCTATTTTAAATGTGACAATGGGCCCATTTGGCTGCCCTGTAGTAGTCCTGGCATAAGCCACCTGATAAGAACTGGGGTGGCCAGTGGGTGTGAAATGCCTGAGTTGTTCCTATGGTTCACCAGGGGTGGCGCCACTAGCTTCTATAGATTAGAGTCAATTGGCGCTGTCAGTCCACTGGTCACTATGGTTACAGGGACCTTAGGTAATTACCCAGTTTCCTCTGCTTCCCAGATCCATCTTCCATCCTCCATCCTCCATCCTCCATCCTCCCAGATGTGTGTGTCCTACTATCTGTCCCTCCATGTTCCTCCAACCCCTCTCCCGCCATCTTGCCTGGCCAGCTCTAAGGACTCCTGGTCATTCTAGCTTGTCAAAGCCCTGTGCTTGGTGCTCAGCTGGACCTTCATACCAACTAGATTCCACTTCATAATGCAGTCCTTGGGGAAGTCTCCCTATGCTCACCCCCCACTTAGATGGCCACCCAGCCGGGGCCATGGCTTCTTGGGCAGATGTTCTGACCTGAGTGGTTCTCCTTTCTCTCTCTCTCTCTCTCTCTCTCTCTCTCTCTCTCTCTCTCTCTCACACACACACACACACACACACACACTTGGAGGAGGCCTCGTAAGGTCCCTGTCACTGTTTCTCTCCATTATCTGGAATGGCTGGCTGGGGCCAGACCAAGGGGTGAGGCAACAGCCATCCACACACCCTGTGTTTGTTGGATGCAGGACCTGTCATGTGTCAGCATCTGTGTTTTGTTTTGTTTTGTTTCTTATTTCACGGTGATTTCTTTTGTTTGGTTCTTGTGCCATTAACACAGATTCTTGTGTGTGCGCCTGTCTCTCATCCTTTCTTTTTTCTCTCCCTCTCTCACTTCCCCGCACCCCGTGTTGCATGTGGCTGCCCCAGGGAGTAAAGGGCCAACCAGGTGAGAAGGTGAGTCCACACTTTCCCCTCTGCCCTTCCACCCCAGCCTTTGCTTCTACCCCCGTGGACTTTTGGGGGGCTTCCCGAGGCCCCCAGCTCAGCCTTCCCGCTGGCGTGCAGGCTGAGCAGAGCTGCCAGCCAGGCCTGCTGTGCTCTCAGCCTCTCACGGCTCAGTTCCTAATAGCTTCCACACCGTCAGGCAGGGGTCTTGGGGTTCCTGGGCTAAGGCCCCAGCCTCTCCGGCGGAGTGGGTCTCCCCCTCCTGCTGAGGCTGCCTGTGGCCTCGGTGCTCTGAATGTGAGCCTTAGGCAGTCACCCTTCCCAGAGGCAAGGAGCACACCCTGTCTTGTGCGGGATGCAGCACTCTGACCTCGTCCCTGCATGGCACAGGCTGGGTCCTTCCATCAGAGCATCACCTCTCACCCCCATCTGTGTTCCATACACCCTGCATCCTCCTCCTGTGGCCCCTCCCCACCACATTCTGGCCCACACGTAACCCCTCTTTGTCACTCCAGCCTTCAGGCGCAGGGCTGCTGGGCCCACCCAGCACGTATGTGTCTTGTCCCCAGCCTCTATTTTCAGCAGCTCCATCCAGGGGCAGGCCACTCGCTGTTGACCAGTTGCAGGGTGTGCAGCCACATGGGTATTTGGGGTTGGGGATGGGGAAGAAGACCTAGGGGTTGGAAACTTGGCTGGAGCAAGTCGGAGAGTGTCCTGGGCAGAGCCATGGGACGAGGTCTCTGGGGCCTGAGCAGCCATGGCTGAGCTGTGTCCCCTCCCTCCTTCCCTCCCTGCCTCCCTGTGCCACCCTCTTGCCCATCACTGCGTGAATCCTCTTCTCCCTGATTCCTGGCCTGGGGTCCCACCACCCTCTTTCCCCGGCCCCCACATCTTCTGCTCCTGCTACATCTCTTCCTGCTGTATTCCTCCTGCTTCCCTGTGGCCCTTCTCAATCTTTTCCGGATGCCTCATTCATCCCTCCAACCCCCCCGGGCCTCCTCTCCCCTGTCCTCCCTCCTCCTCTGCATCCTCTGGCCCCTCTGTCCTCCCCCTCTGGCTGGCACCCCACCTTCGCATGCCTCTCCTTCCCCACCTGCCAGCCCCTCCCTTTGACTCTTCTTTTCCCGCCCCTCTCCCCTCCTGCCCCTCGCTCCCCCTCCCTCTCTTCTCTCTTTCTTCCATAGGGGGCCCCAGGAGATGCCGGGATGTCCATCATTGGTCCTCGCGGCCCCCCCGTAAGTGGTTTTTTTTGGGGGGGGGTGGCTGGGGTGGGTGAGTTACTGAAAAGGGCTTGGAGTGGAAGTTTTGCCTCTGGGTGTGGCAGACACCACATGTGATGTGGTTGCCAGGCCAGGCCTCAGAGCTGCTGTTGATGTTAACGAGAGTGGCCTGACTAAATATACCTAAATTACAGCCTCTCGGGAGGGCTTGCAAGGGCACGAAACTACAGCAGCTGTGCGGTGGCCCTGGGGTTTGCGGGCCGAGGGGAGCAATGCCCTCTCCCATCTGGAGGGGGGTGCTCCAGCTTTCCAAGGGACAAGCCATGCTTCCGGAAGCCCATGGAGCAAATGCCCAACTCCAGATTCCCTGATGCAACACCCACTCCTGGTCCTGGCAGACGCCGGCTCCGCCACTCACCCTCAAAGGCCCCTTTTGTGCTCAGCCTGGGTCCAGTGTCTTAGTTCCTCCTCCCAGCGGCTGGGGGCTTGGGAAAATCAGAGATGATTCCATTTAGATATGCTTCCTTAGGGACCAGAAGGGTGATGTGGGTGATGATGGGGGAAGATATCGCGACTATGGGAAGGAGAACTGGCTGTTTTTCTCAAAGAGTGCCTGAACCACGGGTTTCGATAAAATCACCAAACGTCAGGGGGGAAAAGACCTCGGTAATGGTCTAGCACAGCCCTCTGAGAAGGGGAAACTGAGGTCCAGAGAAGGGAAAGGGTCTGGCCAGGGCCACACACACAGAGGCTAGGGCAGGATTGGAAGAACCCAGGATCCCTGGCATTCAGGGCTTCCACCACAGCAACAAGCCACCGTCTCCATGTTTTGCCACGTGCTTTTCCGGACCTGCTATTTACAATGAGAGGGTGAGGGGAGCAGTAGCTTCTATTCAGGTAACAGCTTCTGGGAGTCTGAGGCTAGCCCAATGGATGGATGAAGCCCTGCCTGCCCTCTGTCCTGCCTTCAATGGAGAGAGCCAGCTGAAGCTGAGGTTAGCAGGGTTAGTGTCTCCTGTGATTCTAGGCTCACATGGCCACAGTCCCCATGGGGCTGGAAGCCTTTTTGTGTACTGGGGGAGCCACAACATGGATGCCCTGAGCCCAGCTGTCCCTGACAAAGGTAGTGCTCAGCCAGGGGACAGCCAGGAGACGGGAAGGTTACAGAGAAGAACAGGCCTCCAGGTTATAATGGCAAGGACAGTGCCTGGAGCGGGCCTATTAGAAGCACACGGAGTAACACAGAGATGGCCGCTATCTCTGTCTGCCCCCTGGCCTGACCACAGACATCCCATTAGGTGACTATGTTGTTGCCCTAACACTCTCTGAGTAGTATCTTTCAGCAGCATCTTGTCAACAGGCCGCCTAAAAGTTGTAGAAAAGGCTTCACTTCTGGGGGCGTGCTCAGGACAGTGGTCTGCCTCAGCTTCCCTGGCTTCCGGCCCCACGTCGTAAGCCTAATAAGGAGCACATCTCCCACACTGGATTTGATTCCAATGGTGAAAGTACCTTCTGTTCAGGTAACAGATTTCTCTCTCCTGAGCACCTAGAGCCCCCTCATGGAGCTGTCCCTGGCTCCAGCCTCCTTCATCCCTCCCAACAAAGCTGGGAGGCAGGCCCGCCAGCCCATTTCACAGAGACAGAAACAGTTTCGCAACCCGCCTGTTGTCGCCTCGCTGGTCGGTGCTGGGGCTTGGGTCAGGCCAGTTCAGTTGCATTCCACAGCCAGCATTCTTTCCCCAACGCTCCTTCCATGTTTTAAGCTCTACTGTTTACAAGCTTCTTTACCTTAAGGAGAAAAAAGTTCTCCTTGTTGGTGCTGTGTGGTGCTAGGTGAGGTTCTATGGCACAAGGAAACTCGATCAAGCCCAGTGTCCACTGATTTTGGCCTGTGTGGGTGGCCATCACCCAAATGGCAGGGGCCGCCCTTGCTGAGTCTTCACTAGACACCAGGACAACCCCATGAGCTCCTTCCCAGAAGCCACCTGGAGTTGGTAAGAGCAGGGCACAGAGGAAGACAAAGGGTCATTTGTCATTAAAAGGTAGAGGTCAAGTGGGCAAGCCCTCTGTGGCAGGGGGATGATGAGATCACGTGGCTTTCCACTCAGCCCAGAAGGGCCCAGCGTACCTGCTGCTAGTAAGAACCAGCCTTGCTGCTGTGAGGGTCCACCTGCCTCCTCTCTTGGAGTTTCACAAGTGGTCTTGAGCAAAGGGAGAACCATCCAGGTACTCCTGGGAAGGATGGCTCTCATTGTAATGAGGCAAGATGCTGGAGCAGTTTTCCCATTAAACCGAGGGTGAGGTTGTTGACCTCGAGATGCTGGCTGGCCCAGCAGGCACTGGAAAGGTCATCTGCCAGGCTAGGAAATGCCCCCCATCTCAAAGGGAGCTCAGTCCCTCCCTGAGGCCCCCACAGGGGCCAGGAGGAGCTAGCTGAGCTGGCAGCGCTCATTCACAGGGAGATGTCCTGTCAGGTCGATACACATGTTGAGTATTTCTTGGTTTAGCTATTTCATTATTTGTTAGGCACCTCCTGCATGCTGGGTACTGGGAGAAAAGCAACACCTGACTGCAGCCTGCTTGCCTCTTGGCAGAGAGACCAGCAGTGCCATAGTGGTCACAGAGGCAGCAGTCAGTGCCCCTGAGAGGAAGGCAGAATTAAACTGTGATCAAGGATGAGCAGAGGTTTCTCAGGTGCCAGACTGGGGAGGAGCTCGGCTTTCCCAGGCAGAAAGGCTTCTTATAAACTATTGGGGAAACGGGGAAGTTCTTTACAGAGCAAAGCAGGGGTGAGACTGGCCAGGTAGCTAAAAGGACCCAGACACAATGTTCAGGAGTCTGGACTTTCTCCTGAGAACAGAGGAGAGCCCTTGGTTTGTGTTCAGCAGAGGAGGGACAAGATCAGATTTGCAGGTTAAAAAGGTCCCCTGGTCCCCAACACTCCAGCGTGAAGAATGTGTAGAAGAGGCTGCTTCGGGGGCCTGGCTGGAAGGCACCTGCAATAATCAAGTCGTGGATTGGAGCCCAGCCACTGGGGCTGGTGGAAGTGCTGGGCTGGTGAGCTATTTTGAAGGTAGAATTGACGGAATGTAGTGGTGATAAAAAGGGGGGTTGAGGGAGAAGGAGTCCAAGATGATCCCATATTTCTAACTTGGTAACAGAGTGGATAGGGGTCCCTTCCCCAGAGGAAAAAGATTTTGCTACAGCAGGTGAGTTTAATCTGAACATAATGAATCTGAAAAATCCTTGTAACATCCAAGGGGAGTGCCCCTCTGCTGCTGGAGCTCAGAGGGTGTGTACTGAGCTGGTCACACTGGCTCTCAGGGGCCAGTCGCTCATACACCTCCCAACTTCGTGTTCAGTGATATCACGTGTGTAGCTTGAAATCAGCCATGGTGGGAGTATTTACGCCACAGAAACTGGCAAATTCCTCTCCTCTCCACTCTCCCCCAACCCAGCCAGTGATTAAACAATGAGCAACACAGAGTCTTATGTGAAACGTAGCACAGACTTGAAGAGAGGGAGGTAAAATGAGGCAGGCCCTGGGCAGATACATGACTGAGGTTCTTTCTGGAGTCAGATAGAAGAGAAAGGAGGGTTTCCAGTAGGCTCACTCCAACTAGAACATTCTGTCTGTCTTTCCATGTTGCATTATCCTGCACAAGTTGTAGGTAGGAAGAAGGTAGGAAAGAGTAGACAGACACAGCGTTCACTTCCAAACAGTGGGGATCCACGTGGTTCCCTCTCTGCCCTGGCTTTGAGTTAAGGGAAGAGAGTTCAGAGAGCAATGTAAAGCTTATTTCCCTTGTTCTCCTTTAGAAGGATATAATATTAATCTACAAATCTATAATCCATAATTTTAACATGATCTTAATTCAAGTGAATTTGGAAAAAAAAATAAGTTTGTGGGGGTGTCAGGAAAGTTCTGAAAAATAGTGCAAGAGGAATAGTGAAGAGAGGACTAGTTGTTCTAGTAGATATCATTATGTGTCATAAAAACAAAGCAATTATAACAGAAAAGAGAGGCCAGGAATAAAGCCAAATGCATCTGGGAAATTGGTCTGTGATAGAAGCCTGATTTCACAATAAAAAGAGAAAGATAGATTGATGAATATCTGCCTCACTTGTTATATCAGAATAAATTTCAAATAAATAAAATACATAGACGTAAAACATGAAACCCCAAAATACAAGAACAAAGCATGAGCAAACAGTTTATATTTTTTAACTTGGAAAGACCTTTAAAACACAGCGTAAAACACAGAAGCCACAGGAAAAGATTGATAAGTTTGTCAACAAGAATGTAAAACTTCCACATGGCACAAAATATATCATAAACAAGGCAAATGCCAGTTGGAAAGATATTTGCAACACATATGATTATCAAAGAGTTACTGTGCTTGACAAAGAGCTTTACTCAAATCAATAGGAAAAAGACAAACAACCTAGTAGAAAATATTGCTAAAGAATACAAACAGGCTGTTCACAAATAAATAGGACCGGCAATAAACATCGGAAAGGATGTCCAACCTCAGCATAGAATTTCTTGTAAATTAAAATCCAGTTCCAAACCTCTCCAAGTGCCTTACGCAGCCCCAACCTCTCCAGGAAGTAGAGCCCCGGTTTCCATTGGGTCAATGACAACATTCTTCCCAAGATCCCTGAAAAAGCCTTGGTTAGCCCTGGATTTGGCTCTGGGTTGGAGAGATGCCTCCTGCTACCAGGGCAGGCTCTGTAATTAGCAAACCATGTGATTATCTCTACCGTGTAAACATTAGCCCGAGTAGGACTTGAAGACACTTCTTGGAATCTTCCCTCCTGACCTTTCCTTCAGGCCTCTCAGCATTCAGAGAAGTCGAAAGTTTACAGTGGCAGGTTTCAGAGGTTACATTGCACTGTTTCCGGGTTTTCTCCTTGGTGTTATTCTTAGCATCACTTATCCTTGACAGGAGAGAAGCCTGGGGGCCCTTCTGATATATGAGTGGCATCTCTTCCCCCTGTCCCTTTTGGATGCCTGCCACAAGCCCATTCTGAGCCTGTGGCATACCCCCTGCCTGGCCAATGCACCCACCCTGACAGCCGGTTCCACATCCCACCCAGCCATGTCCCCTGAGCAGAGGCTGCTGGTTATTTGTGTCCACAGCATTAAGAAGGACCAAAGCAACCTGGAGATGTTGGAGGTTCACAGCATATGGTTGCAGAGAAATCTCCCTCTGGTTAGGGTCTGATTCTGAAACTATTGTTTGACAAGGACAAAACTCTTTGGGTCCTAAGAGATATTGGGCTCGAAAGCAGCCTTGCTTTATTTTGGTGCTCCTAGGTTTAGTTCAGCCCAACAAACATTGGATGATGGCAGCTACCATTTCAAAGGGCTTTGCAAACATAATGGAATGTAATTCAATGACCCTATGAGGTTATAAGGTTATCCCTGTACTCTAGATGAGGTAGTTGAAGCAGAGAGAGGTTAGAAAATTTGCTCAGGGTCACACTGCCATTGTTGGTAGAGGCAGTCAGATTGAAAAGCCCAAGTTTGGGAAGAGACTGTGGCCATCTCGGGCCAGGGGGACTCCAGGCTGAGAGCTAAACATGTGAAAGATGTGATGTGTCTGGGGAAAGAAGGTGAGCCAGTGCACCCGAGCAAAGAGTGTGTGGGAAGATAAGGCAGGAACGACCTAAAACAGCAAATCAGGATGCGGTTGAGGATGACCATGAATGAAGTGTGAGTAAAAGAGGGCCATTACTGGTTCTTGAGAAAGAGAGGGACAGGACTCATGCTTCTTAACTCTCCATTACCCTTGACCTTGTGCTCAGCCCTCCCCAGCCCTGGATCTGCACAGCTTCATGCTGCTTCCCACATGCATACTTCTCTTCTGCCCTGAATATTGATCATAAACTGGTGAACTTGCTTGTAATCTCCAACCTGAATACCTTATATGTGCCCTTCTGCACCTCCATGGAAATGGACATGAATTGGTCTGTGTCCTGCAAAGGTGGGGGGATCCAAAAATTGTCCAACTAGGAGAAGTCTGTTGAGAGGAAGGCGAGCAAACTCACCTCATTTTGACCTGAAAACACACATCTCAAAGGTCAAATTTTGATAGCCACTGATATCCAAACGATCCTTAGATAAGTGGCCATGAGTAATGACTATGTAAATAAAAGGGACTTAAAAAACCACAGTTCAGGAGTTCAGTGTGCTGCAGGCTGAGTCCCCAATGTCCTTGCTCTCCATCACTTGTGTATATGCCAAGGTTCAGAGTTTCCACAGACGCAAGGAGTTCTCAGGGGCTACCTCCCAGCAAGGTCCAAAGGATGCTGGCCATCTCTCTTCCCTTTCCCCACCCCTAGTCCGGGGGAGGAGCTGTCCTATGCTCCACATCCATCTTTATCCTCCCTCACAACCTGCTCACAGTGGGGAGTGTCTTCCCTGGATGATCACAGAGGAGTGGGAGGGAGACGAGGCCCCTCTGGGAACAAAGGTGAACCAGGGCCCTAAGGATTAGTTTCAGCTCCTCCGCACCCTCCTCACTCCTCTCCATTCTTTTCAGGGTCAGCCGGGCACTCGAGGTTTTCCCGGATTTCCGGTAAGCGGGGAGAATTGAGGTTAGCCGTGGCTCTGTTGACCCCTGGGCTTGGTTGGGTTAAACTTCATGCGGGGCCAGCCCTGAGGCTGCTCTTGCCCTTCCTACCCTGGGGCAATAAGGACCCTCTCCCACAACCTTCGTGGGAGAGGATCTCCAAGCTTGGCTCAAAGTGCAAGGGAGGACAAGGAAATTAGTATGGAAATAAAGGGATAGCAGGACACGAACAGGTGAATAAAGTCATAGGCTGGTAAACCTTGGTAGGACACTGGAATGCGGAAGAGAAGACACACTGCAGAGAAGCAACCTCCAGCCTGGCTTTGAGAGGGGATCTGCCTGGAGGAGGCAGCGAGGTGGCCAGGAGGGGGCTGTCTGGATGTCCTGTGACCCCTGCCTGGGAGCCCAAGACAGGATCTAAGGGGGAGGGCGGAGGAGCAGCTGGTTCTCTGTTCCACAGGCCTCGGTGCTGGCCAGCCCTGATTTCTAGGAACACACTCTCCACTCTCCACCTGGGGTGAGGCAGAGGCCCATGATCCGGTGACAGCCCCCATCGGGTCCTCCTCGTGCAGGGCATATCGCAGATGACATCTCCCTCACTCCTCACAAGGACCCTTTGAGGAAGGTCTATTATCCTTATCCCCCTGTTAGGATGGGAAACTGGCTTACCTATAATCACGTAACCAGCAGAGACTTGAACCTTAGCTGTTGGAGACTTACCCACAGCCCCAGGCTGCCTCTTCGGCAGGAGACTGGGGAGGCTCAGCCTTTACGTTTGTCCTCCTTCTGCTTTCAGGGTCCCATTGGGCTGGATGGAAAACCGGTGAGTAGACCCTCTTGAGCTTGGACTCCTCCCTCTTACTTAGTCCAGGTTATTAACCTGGGGTCTCTTAGTCTTTTTGCAAGACCCCAACTCCTTGGAAGAAGCTTTAGGTAGAATGACCATTTTAGGGGCAGAAAGTTGTTGCCAGTGGGAAGGGAGGAGGGACTATTAGACTGGGTTACCCCTGGCCCCAGCAGCCTCCACAGGGCACAAGCCCACAGACTCCAAGGTGGGCCTTCAGCGTCTGGAGCAAGAACCATCCTAGACTTTGGTGATGCTGGGGTGCTCCTAGGAGGGGGCTGGGTAGGGAGGGCTCAACAACCAGTTCTAAAAAGAGCTGGACACTCTCTCCCGCTGTTGCTCTTGTGCCTCCCGCCTCCTGGGGCCTCCCATCCTAGTTGAGACCCCACACACATATCTCAGTCTGTACCGAGGCTGCTTCCCTATCCTGGACTTGTCTTTTTGTTCATTTCAATTCTTTTGACTTAGCCCCAGACACAAATGTTCATGGGGAAAAGGAGACCCCTCCCCACTCTTGGGAAGGAGTGATCTGGGGGAGAGCTCAACCTTCCAGCGCTCTCAGAGCTCCCCCCCACAATGGGCTTCGATGAGTGTTGAGCCCAGTCCCACCCACTCTCCTCCCCCATGAGCAGCTGACGTCCTTTCAGAAGAGGGGCCTGGCCACCACCCAGTCACCCGCCTCTGCCGGCCAGAGCTAAGCACAGCGAGTATCTGGTGGTGGAGGGGGGGCCGCATGTGGCAGGGCAGGGGGCTTCTGATTTGCACAGTGTGCCTGGCACTCACACTCTTCTCCTTCCAGGGCTACCCCGGACCCAAAGGGGAGATGGTAAGACCCCATCTTTCCTGTCTTCCTTCAAGGGGTGGGAGATCACTTGGACCTCATGGGCCACAACCAAGCACTTCCCAGGAAATGGGCCCAACGGGGACAGCGGAAGTAGCTGCCCCACAATCACTCCCCAGCTGTGTACAACTCATGCCCCTGGGTCCTCACATCAACAAAGGGAAGACAGGTGGGCAGGGGGCTTCTCCACGTGCAAAATGAGGGAAGGGGGTCCAGAGAGAATTCATGGTTGGCCAATGTCACACGGAGTTAGAGGCTAGCGTTCCCTCGGGGAAGTGCTCACATGCAGCACTCACGCTGAGGGTGTAGGGAGCCTGTCCATCACTCCGTCCCTGGCCTGGTTTCCTCGTGCCTGCCCTCCCCTAGGCTGTCCCAGGACCCCAGGTGATGCTGCCCCACCGGGCATAAAGCAGCCTTGGAGAAGCAGACTGGCCTCCACCTTCCTCCAGTCCCTTCTGCCTCTGCAGAGCCCTTTAAAGGAATTTGCTCTCTCTCCAGTCTCCCCAAGCCACTTCTTCCAGAAGGGAAAGTTGCCCTTGTCAGGGGCTAGTCACCCAGGGGAGGGGTCTGTTCTCAGAGGGACTGAGGGGTCATTAAGAGCAGATAGACCAGCCCTGGCTGGGATGCTGTCCTGCCTCCCAGGCTGGTCACATCTACATTGTGAGCAGCCACCTTCTACAGGCGAGTCTTGTTTGTGCCAGGTGTGAGAGGAACACGGCAGGCGCCTGTCTCCCTGACCAGCCGGGCTCGGGCTGGTGCCTTGCTCCAAGCGCTAGGTGAGAACACTCCATGCACGACTGAGGCACTGCCAGGGCATGGGGGGCCAGAACGCTGCCCACTGAGGGAGGCAGATGACCACTTGCCGTGGGACCCTTGGGGACTCAGCTCCCTCTGGACCTCAGCCTGTCCACCTGCCTCAGACTCAGCTAACACTCATTGAGGGTTCTCTGTCTTGTGGGCATGGAGCTAAGTACTGGACATAGATTATCTCACTTAATCCTCAGTATGACCCTGTGCTCCAGGTCCTATTGGTGTTCCTTTTGACAGCTGTGGAAATTGAAGCTCAGAGAGACCGAGTGATTTGCCTAAAGTCATATAGCTAAGGGACATCCAAAATAGGATCCAAACCAGTTCTCAGATTCCTTCCCTCCACATTTTGTTGCCTTTCTCTCACCTTAATTCTCTCTCTCCTTTCCTGTCTCTCTTCCTCCTTCCTTCCTTTACATTTCTGTTGAGTATCTACAATATGCTGGGCACTATGCCAGGTGCTAGGGATACAGACAGGAGTAAGGAAGACACTGTCCTTGCCACACTGCAGCTCCCAGTGTAGTGAGGGAGACGCATTTAATAATCACTCACGTAATTAACAAATCACCTTTGTAATCAGTGCTATGAAAAGGCGGTGCTTATTACTCTGAGAAACTTCAGTATAATAGCACCTCACCCCAGCAGAGGGTCAGGGGGTGTTCCTGAGAATAAAACTTGAACTGGGGTCTGAGGGGTGAGGATTTAATGAAAAGGGGGTGGGAGGGGCATGGAAGAACAGTTTGTGCAAAGGTCCTGAGGCAGGAAAGTCACTCAAATATCTGCAGAACCAGAAGAAGGGCAGTGAGGCCCTGGAGGCAGTGGGTGGAAGAGCTGGTGTTGGAATCCAGGTCCCCAGCCAGCTTTCCCCTCCATCCCAGCCATCCCCACTGCAAATGTATTTCTTGTTGCCCCTACCCTGATCCTAAGTATGATGTGCACATGCCTGAAGTAACGTAGACCAAGGCAGGAATAAACTTCCATGTTACCATCATGGTAGAGGCATAAGGGGCTTGGGGCATCCCCTTCCTGGTTGCCTCGGCATCATTACTACTTCTACTATCTCAGAAGTAATAATGATGGTTAGCAACTAGCACTGCTCTGTAATCCTCATAGTGACTTATTATTCCCACTGTGCAAAAGGGGAGATCGAGACAGCAGCGCGTTTGAGCACACTACCCAAGGCTACCTACACAGCTGCTAAGTAACAGAGCTGGAATTAGGACCCATGTGCTGAGATCTTCCCTCTTCACCACACTTCCTTTCTGCTGCCAGAGCCTTTTGTCTTGAAAGAAAGGACCCTTCTTCGACAGGGCTCCTCTTCCTGTCGTCCCTCTGCCCCAACCCACGTAACCACCCACAAGTCTCCCTAGCCTGTTCAAGGGTCAGAGCTAATTCAGGGGAAGGGTGGGGCCATCCCATCTCTCATGAGCCCACTCGGTGTGATAGATCCCCTATCGGCCTCATAGTCATCCATCAAAATCCGACAGGCTACAGAGCTATTAGACTCCTGTTTGACTTGGCACAGGGACCCTGAGCTATTAATTCAACACTCTGTCTGGCGTAATTATCTTGACCTGCTTATCATCTGTCTGTCTCCTACTCTCCTCTCTCCCCAGATGGTTTTCCCTCTGCTGAGCATCCAACATGGGGAGCTGGGGCTCACCCTCACGTGCATAACCCATGTCCTCAACTGTCAAAAGGGGGTTACCTCTGCCCCACCCACCCCACAGTGGCCCCGAGAACTTGGTTAAGGTGTAGACAGGACCGAGGTCCCCCAGGTGCCATAAAGGAAAGTGGGGACTCTGAATTCACAACTTAGCCCACCACTTACAGGGCTGTCTTAAGGGTGGTAACAGTTAATTCACACTAAGTGCCTAGAACCATGCCTGGCACACCGGACGCAGGACAAGCTCCTTAGTCAGCACGTCGCACCACCCATGACCTGCCTTAATAAAGGGGCAACTGCTTTTCAGCTAGAGCTGATTGATGCCATGTGTTACTGGACCTTGAAATATTGAAAAGACACTTGAAGTCCAGCGTTTTTGCTGTGCTCTCGTTGCTTTTAAATGTTGACAGTGAAATGAAATAAAACTGTGTAGTCTCAACCAAATACCTCTGGAGACCACGATTGTCCCACAGAATCTTATTCAGGATGCCTGGATTCACTCCTGCAAGCCTGCGTAATCCCAAACCTTTGATGATTTCTTGGCCCCTGGCCCTCCCTCCCTCATCTAGCTCCTCTCTCTGGCCGGAGAGAACCTGCCCTGGTCACCTGCAGTCTGGTTCCTGTCAGGTGCATCATATGCTGCTGAACTTGATACTAAACACTTGGTCAGCCACATGGGCTGGGGTGCCACATGGATTGTCCCAAAGTTCACTTGTCTCTCCTTATGAACCTCCTGGGACTTTCCCAGTTGGATGGTTTGTCCGGTTGGCCAGTCTGGACAAGAGAAGGCTCATCTCTCACCAGAAGGGTTGTCCTGGGGATCCTGAGTTCTCCCAGCCCCCCAAGAGATGGGTCTAGCAGGTGGCTCTTCACAGGCTCTCACAATGGTGCCTGGAGGGGACCTCAGGTCCCAGTGGTTGAGGCACAGCCTGTGGCTCTAGCCAAGTCTAGAAGCCCAAGCCCAACCTCCCGAGGTCTAGCCCAGTTCAGAGAACATGGCAGAGTGGAAACAGCTGGACCCTATGGTCAGACAAACTTGGGCTCACATCCCAATGCCACTCCTTGCTGAGCCTCGTCTACCTCACCTTGTCCTCAAGATGGAGCTGACATGTGCGCCTTTCTCAGAGGCCAGTGCAGGTGTGAGCTCAGTACAGACTGAAAGTCAGCCTCAGAGAGGATCCTCAAAAGAAGAAGTGCCTGTCCTCCCCCACTTCACTCCACACCAGCCGTGACGCCTCCTTAAACAGAGCCTCAGCTCAGGCTCCTGAGAGCCAGCTAGCCCCGTGTCCTCCTCAGAGAACATGAGTCCCCCCTGAATTTAGGCTTCTTTCTCAGCCCTGTAAATTTGACAAGACATCCTGGAAGGATATCCCAAGACCTCTTACGTTCCTCCAAGGGGCCCAAGATATGGCTTAGGTCATTAACTTCCTGCTCCCTCTCTTTTGCCAAATGTTTTTCCAAAGCCACGAGGAGATAGATGGGTGTGAGTGAGGCAGGCCATCCATAGACGCAGGGCCCCACCTGACATGCAGATGCAACCTCCTTCCTAGCCGGGGGCCATAAGATGACGGTGGATGGTGGAATGAATGAAGGATGGCATCTATTCTTCATCACGGCCATGCACATAGGGACAGGACACAGCTAGTAATGCCCACTGACATGAAGAAGCTGAGATGTGATGTACAGGCCACAACCCCTGGAACACCTCAGGCACAGGAAGACCAGACGTGGGTGGTGGAGCCTAGCCTTTGCAACTCCAGGCATTCTGAAAGCACCTGGAAGCCCAGCTGCTAGCACAATCCCTAGCTAGGCCTACGTCTCCGATCTGCCTGCCTTCTGTACATCCACTAACCTATGTGAATTTCCTCCCCACAGGGCCTGATGGGTCCCCGAGGACAGCCGGTTGGTACCTCACCCTAATGTTCCCCAACACAGAGGGTTTAGGCCACTGCATTTTCAGCTTTAGTTTCTAATGCTCTCATTTCCATCTCTTCATAGGGACCTCAAGGAGAAAAAGGAGAAAAGGTAGGCCTGATGGAGGTTTTCTATAATTTTCATCTCAGGCAGAGCACATTTAAAAAAAACAAAAACAAAAAAAACAACAAACAAAAAACAGGTAGAAAGGGGTCCAGAGTGGTTATTTTCAAACTTTATTTCTTATCAGCAGAACCAGGGTGTCCCCCATGGTGCCGGGGCATGTAAGGGAGAAAAGGGAAGTTGCTCTGGCGCATGCTCTGCTCTTGGGGTAGGGGGTCAGGGTGGGGGTGAATGCCCTGAAGTCTGGCCCTCCTCAGCCTTTCTCAGCCCCACCCACCTGCCACTCCCGCAGTCTTTCCTGACCCACCTCCATGAGCCTCTAGGATTTTGAGGTGTCAGTGTGTAAACCACTAGCCTGGCCCCCTTCCTGGCTTCCATTCTCTGTCTCTCTGAATTTCTAATGGAGATTCTGCGCTGGGCTTGCCCCAGGTGGACAGTACAGGGACCTGGAACCCCAGCTCAGTGAGGGCATCTCTGAGGGTCTCGTTGTCCACACCTGTCTCGCTGTCTGCCGTTGCCACCCAGGGGCTCCTGTTCGGGGATGTTGGGTGGACCCTCCGTCTTTCCACGCCAGGCCTGGAGCACAGCTCCTGACTGTGTGCTCACGGCAAGCGGAGCATATGGCACAGCGCCCTGCCCCAGGCTCCATGGGGCCACGTCCAGGCGGGCCCTGGGAGCTTCTTCCATGCCGCCAGTCAGGGGTCAGGGAGGAAATTAGTTCTCCTGCCTCAGGGAACTCAGTCCAGGGCCAGAGGGGGGCTAGTGGGGTGACGAGTGTGCGCGCTGTGTCCACAAATCCTGAAGGTGCCCCTGAGGGACAGCCCATCTCCAAGTGCCTAACACGCCCTTTCTTTCCCTTTCTTGTCCAGGGTCAGTGTGGCGAGTACCCACACCGGGTAAGTGAACCCCTAGAACTGCTCTGTCCTGGGGCAGAGCCCCCAGCTCAGCCTCATCTCCCTGGAGCTCCTGGCACCTACAGAGCTTGGGAACAGGAGCATACAGCCCCCTCTGTGCTCAGCAGCCAGAGCAGGGGCTGTGGGGTGGGGGTGTGTCTGCCCAGCCCGGGAGTGTGCCTCGTGGTCAGTATGTGTGTTTGTGCAGAGCCAGTCTCCAGCACTCGTGTTCACCCGCCATTCGTGTCTATGTATCTGCCCTGCGCTGTCTGGGCTGCGAGTCTCCCAGCAGGTGTGTATATGCGACTTCCAGGGCCGCCTGCTTCTCCTCTGTACATTGCCGTCTCTGTAAGGCCGTGTGGCTTGTGCGAGTCTATGTGTCTGAATCCCTACCTAGTGTGCGTGTGTGATTGTGTGTGCGTGTGTTTGGCTGCCTTCCCTGGCGGAATCAGAGGGACTTTTTGATTAGTCATTATTTCGGATGACCCAATCTCAATGGTAGGGGTTAACTGGGGGCGGGTTGTATCAATACAAGGGTAAGGTCTCTGCTTTGCTTCTTGAAAAATAGAGAATGCTTTTCAAGCAGCGTGGGGGATTTCAGGGCTAAGATGGTCTCCCACTCCCCCCAGCCCCCACCAGCTCCTTCCTCTCCCTGACCCTACCCCCGGGATGCACAGCCCCAAAGCCTGCTGTCATCCTGTTAGGAATGTACAAACAGTGCACCAAGAGCAGGGCCATTCTTGAGACAGGGAGGGCTACCGTGTGCGCTGCCTCCTCCAGCGAGAGGCCCAGTGAGCCAGCGCCTGGAAAGTGCCCCTCACTTTGTGGATCAGCCTTGCCCACTCTCTGACCTGCGCAGTAGAGGTAGGGGGGACAGGCATCTCCAGGTGCCCATCCCCCTGTCATGGACCTCATTGTGTCCAGAAACACATACGTGGTGTGGCCCACTGGCCACCCACTCCTGCCAGGCAGGGGGACAAGGGAGTAGAGACAAGCAAAAGCCAGGCTCCGAGTCCCCAGGCTCTGAAAGGCCACGAGGAGGGCCTTGCTAACAGGATCCTGCCAATCAGCCTCTGATCCCTGGGTTCCTGGCTCAAGGAGAGGCCTCAGGGAGCCTTGAACAAGAGTAGCTGGATTGGTACTGAGGCCAAGGCTGGGCTGGGCCCGGGGCAGAGGGCACAGGCCGGCAGCAGCACGGACAGAGCCAGCCCGTCAGTGGCATGTGCTCCAGGGACACGGGGGCCCTGGTGTTCCGGCCAGCCTGATCCTGATACAATAATAGAAGGTCAGCTGTGTTTATTTGAAACGATGGGCTCACAGGATTGTTATGTTGCCCGAAAGAAAGACAGCTTCCCCCAATGCTAAAGACAACGCAACTGCAGACGCTTTGGCAGTGTCGTCAGTCCTGAGTGAACACAGGAGGATGGGGGAGGAGAGAGCCCTCTGCCCCTAAGCCCAACATAGGATGAGGGAAAGGGAAGGGAGAGAAGGCTCCAGAAGCACCTTTGCCACAGGCATTGTGACTATGGCAGTATGGGTCGGGCAGGGGCGAGAGCAGGTTTGGGGCCCCAGCTGGAGGGCAGGGCAAGGCAGCTGGCACTTGCTGGTTTTTTTGGAAGTGAGTAGGGAAGCAGGGGGCTTCTAGCACAAATGGTCTATTGGCTTTCTGAGGTGTTTATGGGTGGCAGGCCTCCGGGTCCACAAGATGCCAAGAGAGCCAGGCTGGTCCCTGCGTCTGCTGCAGCCTGCAGCACCTCCAGGGAGGGAGGAAGCAGAAGGGGAGTGGAGACCCCTGGGATGGGGGGTGGAGGAGCTGGTGTCTGTGGCTCTGGCACTCGCCCTGTCTCACCGCCTCCGTTCCCCCTCCCGCACCAGGAGTACCTAAGCAGCAGCACTCTAGCAGCTCTGCACTCCAACCAGATCATTACCCTGAAGGTTTGTAGGCCCTGGTCTGGAAGGTCTTGGGCCTGCTCTGCTGAGAGGCTTCCTGGACACAGCTCAACATTGCACATCCTCATGCCCCTTGTGGGAGGGGGTGGGCCTCTCTGTGCAGCAGCTGACCATGAAGGCAGCAGTGACCTAGAAAGGCCATGATTGGGCCCCCAGGTCCCTAGCTGGGCACATTCTCAGCCCAGGTGGCCCCTGGTCCTTAACACTCATCCTAGGGGCCCCTGTGAGTTAAAATGCTTTCAAAAACAAGAGGTTGATTATATGCCATCTTTGTTTTGACATGGGTTCTAACCACTTCCTACAGCCATGCTTCATGGGTGTAGAGATTGAAAGCAGCAAGAATTTCCAGAAATGAAAATCACATTCAATAATGTGATTGCAAGCTGCCTCTCCCAAACAAGTGGTTGAACATGCCAGAGACATCCTTGCCCAGCCTCTGTTTCCCAAGCCCTCCAGTCCCAGGGTGAGACCTCAGTAGCACTTATCTTGTGCCCACACTGGCCACACCCTCAGTCTGCTCAGCCCCCGGGGAGCCCGGCTTGGCACTGCCCTTGACCACCTCCCCAGATTCGCTGACATCAGCCTTTCTCGTTCAGCCAAAAAAAGAACCAGAGGCCACCACACACCAGCCTGGCCTCAAGTACCAATTTAGTTAGTCTTGTGGCTCCCTACCTAGCCAGAGCCTCTGAGCCTTCTGCCCCAGCCCAGCAGCCTCTGTCCACGAGCAGGAATGGGCGGGGCCAGCAGTGCAATGTTGGGCCGCGTGTCAGGCGGCCTTTTCAGCCCAGCATGGCCACAGAGGGCAGGCCCAGCCAAAGACGACCACTCTCCCAGTTGGGGGCTGCTGCTGACCGACACCTCAAGGGTCACTCCTCCCTCCAGGGAAGGTGCACCATCCCAGCTCAGCACGGCACCCCACAAGCCTTGAGAATGCCCCGTCCACACCTCCCCTCCCTGTGCCTCATGCTTGCTAATCTCTCTTCTCTCTATCTCTCTTCCATTCCCTTTTGGCTACCCTGCCTTCCTGGCGACTTCGGGCATCCTCCTGAACACCTGCGACCTTTGGCTTTTGCCCTCTGGCCTTCGCCCTCTGGCCTTCCAACTCATCTTTCTCCTCAGCTGCTGCCTCTCCTCAATTCAGTGCGACTGGCTCCACCCCCAGTCATAAAAAGGCGGACCTTCCAGGTAGACCCTTTCCCTTTGCCCAGACCTCATGGGGTCTCCCCAGGAGCTCAGCAGGTCTCTGGGCCCTGACAGGCCAGCGGGGGCTATTGACAAAGACAAAACCTCACTCTACCTTTGGTTAAATTAACTTAGACAGAAATGGGCCCATGAGTGCTGTAGACCTGGGAATACACAACACCCAAGCACAGGAGATCCCCAGCTTCCAGCACCCGTTACTGCTCATAAGAGCCACGAACAACAGCCACCACTGGGTTACACACCTTGCAGGCCTGGTTTACATTCAATTCTCTCAACAGTTTTATGAATTAAGCATGCCATCCTTATTTCACAGATGAGGAAATCAAGGCCCAGAGACATTAAGTAGCCCAAGGTTACACAGTAAATTGCAGGGGGCCCAAGCCCTCTGCCTCTTACTAGCTGTGTGATTTGGGACAAGTTACTTAACCTCTCTGTGCCTCAGCTTTCTCATTTGTAAAATAAGGATAATAACAGTTCCTACCGCATAGGGTTGCTGTGTATGCAAAGCACTTAGAATAGCCCTGGACAGTTCGAGGGCTATCATTAAATTGAGGCTCAGAGAGAAGTGAATTTTGCCCAAGGTTGCACAAACAGCAAGAGGCAGAAAAGGAACCGGCAGCCAGGTTTTCAGAGCCCCCAACCCAGGGCTCTCTCAATTGGCCCTATACACTTTATACTTAGAAATGCAGATTGCTGAGCATCTGATCACTTGTAACCGGAGTTTGAGGAGTGAGGAAATTTGCAGGAGGAATGCAGCCCTCAACCTACAGGCGTAATCATTGTGAGCAACTGCTTCCTTCTCCCTGCCTTACTAGACCAAGGAGGCTGAGATAGGAAGAGATCACCAAGGGTGAGAGACCTCGGACGCAGCGATCAGGCGGAGGCACTGATTCTGGGCCAGGCAGCATGCCCCGAGCCTCCCTTACACTGTGCAGGGGCTACCCCCTAGGCCACAGGGATACTGGACGTGACAGGGTTCTGAGATGCTCCCCGAAAGCCTGAAAGCATGGCCTGGAGCCACCATCTGGCCTGACTCAGGAGTCCAGGGGCCTGCATGTCAGGCACCTGATTGTACAAGGCTGAAAAAAAAAAATCACTCCAATTAACAGCTAAAAATACAGAGGGACACATGATACGCATGTTACCTGAGCCTGCATATCCCATTACACCAGCCAAATCCTCGAGAGCCTCCATGTGCTCTGAGCGCTTACCCCAAGCATGGCTGTTCAGGGGGCCTGCTGGCAGCTCAGGGAAGCACCAGTCGCGGCCCACCGTCACACACCCGTACCCGTGCCAGACCCCGTTCCAGGAGAGCTGAGTCCTTGCCCTCAGAGCGGCCATTCGCCTCAGCCCCCAGCAGCCACCTCCTGGCCTCAGCTGCGTTAGCTGCTATGTGTTGAGCCCTCGCTGGTCCCAGGCTCTGTTGTAAGGATTCTACATGGATTATCTCATGTAACCCCACACCGGCCAGCGGCAGCGGAGGCGCCATCCTCATCATCCCCACCTTGCCGGTGAAGAAATTGAGAGGGGCCCATGCATGTGACTACCCCTGTTTTCAAGAGCAAGGGGTGGGGGAGCCAGAACTTTCTGTGCTGCCCTGACCTGGTTTCCAAAGTAGAGATAGAAGTACAGGGGCCCCTATTCTGCCTGCTGCAGCTTCTGCCTGGAGAACAAGGTTTTTATGCTGTCAGCCATCATGGGACATAAAAAGGTTTATCCATTTCCTATCAATAAACCAATATTGATTTTACAGGCTCTGTAAGATACTTAAACACTAGGTCTAATATTAGTTGAAACAGGAAACTTTATAAGTGATATGATGTGCTTAGCAGATGGTGTTGGAGGTCACTTCCAAAATGCAGAAAGTTGGATGGTGAGCAATTTTTGCCGGGGGCTTATTTGGAATGAATAGGAATAGTCTGGAGTTCCGAGTTGGGGGTCTGGCCCCTGCACCCCGAATTCTCCATGTGACCTCAGTCGGGGAACTCAACTTCCCCGAGCCTGGTTTCTCTCCTGTAAAATGGGACTTGGGACCCATTTCTGCACCTGCCTCCTCTACCATGAGTACTCATCGCCTTCAAGCAGCCTCTCAGAGGGTGTGGCAGGATGAAGCCCAGGGCCCCGAGTAACACTGCCAGGCACCATCTGCCCTCAGAGGTCCCAGCCACGAGATGGTTCAAGCAGGCGCTGCTGAACTCTTACAGTTCTCATTCTGAAGCTGTGTACTCCCATTTATAATCATCGTTTCCCTCTATAGAGTTCGCAGGAAGCATCATCAGCTCCCTTTTTATACAGGAAGGCAGGAGTCACAGAGGCCTGCTGAGATCTCCCTGAGCAGGGTGGCCTGGCCTGGCACTCGGGCTGCCTGCGCCCCCTGCATCCCAGCCTGGAGCTCCCACACCTGCCAGGCTGCTCTGTGTCAGTCTGTCTGTAGGGATGGGCCCCTTGTCACAAGAGCTGAGCCCAGATCGTCCCTGGAAAGCTCCCTTCAAAAATCATATAATGACAGTGCGGTGTAGATCTAGGCCAACCCTGACTGGGCCGCAGCCCAAGGTCTGGGTCACGTGAACCAGGCTCCCTCCCCCTCCCAAGGGAACGTGGTGCTGACCCTGCCTCCCCAGCCCTTGTCCATCCTGATGCGTCTGGAGAACTCAAGCCCCACCTGTAGGGGGTGCCGCTCCCCAGTCCAGTCCCTGATTGCCCCAGGAATCATCCTGATCGCCAGGCCTCCCCATCTTTCACCAGAAGCCATCAGTGCAAATGTTTTACTTAAAATCTCTTGCTGAATTGTTTAATGAGCCAAACAAAATTCTATAACCTCTGACCTAAGGATCTGATTTGATCCTTTGGACCAGGTCACCAAAAATGGTAAAAAGGTACGTTAGGAAGGGAGGAACTTCTGTTCTTAGCTGGTGGCTGAGAGGCCAGGGCGCACAGGGAGGGTGGGACTCGCCGCAGGGAGGGAGCGGAGGCAGGCCCTGGTCTCAGGCCAAGCAGCCGGACTCCATGCTCCGCCCAGGCTGGGAACAGACCTTCTGGGCTGGGGGTCGCCTCACTCACGCCTCTGCCTCTGCCGCCCACAGCGGGCTCTCACCCCGGGCCCAGGCACTCCGACAGCAAGCCCACTCTGGAAGAACTTCCTCCTGGGGGCCTAGTGTCTTGGCCGTCACTCTGCCGCCACCAGCCCTTGCATGTAGTCACCACTGCAGCATCCTCACCGTCACACCCCCACCGCCTCCCCGCCAGAGCCCACGCAGGGCCTTCACCGGGTGCATGGCACTGGGGCGGGAACAGCTCTGCAGCCCTGGGGGTCTCTCTCTAACGCTTGTTTCCACAAACCTCAGGGTGAACAGGGCCAGGCCGGTATCCAAGGCCCACCAGGGCCACCAGGCCCCCCTGGACCAAGTGGACCTCAGGGGCATCCAGGACTGACAGGGCCCATGGGGCCACGTGTAAGTACCCCCTCCCTCTCTCCACTGCCACCTCTTCTAAGACTTGTCCTAAGAAATCTCTGGAAGCATTCAAACTGCACATAACCAACAGGAACTGTGTCCCAGCTGAATGGCAAAAGCACCTTGGCAAGGCCAGTGAACATGCAGGGAGCTGCCCACCCCGGCCACACTCTGGTTCTGAAAACATACCTTCTGGGGCCGTGGCCTCAACTCCAGCCATTGCCTTCTAGGGAGGAAATCACCAACAGGCTGTTCCCACCCCAGCAAGAGGAAAGTTTCCACGGCCACCTTTGATGGCTGTCCCCTGACCCCTGGGCTTGGGAGAACCTGCGCTGGGGGCAGTGAGTCCTGACGGAGGTAGCGCAGGGTTGCCCCACCAGCTGGCACCCCTAACAAGCATGCTTTTTCTGGGGTGTGCAGGTTTCACACTCCTAAGCCACCAGCTGGACACCTGTCGGCCAGGGGGACCCTTCGTTGAGCCCAGGAAGCCCAAAAGGCACCCCAGCTCCAGGCAAGACCACACGCAGCTGGGGCCGCCAAGTCACCCACTTGCAAGCCCTGGCCAAGACCCGAGTCTTCCTCAGCCCGATTTAGTGCAAGGCAGCACCAGGGCAGGAGAACAGCTCAGCAGGCACCTGGGCTTCTTTGGAGAAAATGGGCTCTCTGCTAAAAAACAAACAAACAAATCTGGTTTTCTTTCTTATAACTGAAACATCATACATTCATTATGAAAAACGTGAAATATAGACAAAGTTTAAATTTGTCAATTTTCCATATCCATCGTTCACCATCATTAACATTTTGGAGAGTCCTTCCATTTTTTTCTTTAATATAGGAGGACCTAAACACTTTTGGGTTCTGAAATACATAAAATAGTTTGTATCCTGTTGCTTTCTCCTTTACCATCATAAGCCACGCCCTTTCCCACATCAGGAGTCTCCGACGTGGATCTGAGGGCTGCCGAGCCTACTGAGAAAGTAGTTACAGAGTTCCTGTCTGTGCTCTGTATCCTCAGACATAGAGGTCTGCACATCTCTGATTGTGTCCCTGGGATAGAGTCCTAGAGGTGAAGTTGCTGGGTTACACTGTCCCTGCCAAATAGCCCTCAGTGACTACAGTCACATTCCAGTCACTTGGCTCCACATCAGGGCCCCTCAGCCACCCCAGCTGCCAATGCGGATGCTCAGCAGGGGGTCCCTCTAGGCTGGACTCCGCTGACCAGCACCCAGCTGGGCCGGAAGGTGGCACAGCAGTGTGAAAACCTAGCTTGCAGGGGTCCTGGCTCTCCTGCCCAGCTTGACCCCCACAACAGATATTAAATATTTCCATGATTTCTCCCCAGGACCCCTGGGAGGGAGATTAGTCTCACTTTCATAGGTTTCTAGACGGGAAAACAGAAAACCAGAAAGGAAGTGACGTTTAGGGAATTGAACTAAACCAAGCTGAGGAAACCAAAAAAGTGCTCAACATCCACCTCTTTGCTGACTGCCCTTCCTCAAACACATTGGGCTCCCACTCACTGAACCCGAGCCAGATGGTTTTCTTTGTTAGGTTTTTTATAAGGAAAAAAATCAGCAAGTATGGTTTTAAACCAACTGAAACAGACCAGACTGAGGCATCACGGTGTTCCGCAGCCCGCGTTTGCCAGCCAGACCGTCTCCCACCACTGTGGCCAGGACAGGCTTTCCCCGCCTCTCCCTTGGGCTCCCACAGGCCCTGGGCCCACGCCACCTCCCCACTGCTGGCTGCCATGGTCACAGCGCCCTGGGGGAAGGAGGCAGGGCTCCCCCGCAGGCTGGCAAGACCAAAGGCAAAATCGTAACTCTTCTGGGCAAAGCCGGCTTTCCAGGGAGGGGTCCCAATTAGGAGGTGGGCGGGTGGGGATCTGGACCAAACCACACTCTTGATTTAACATGATGCCACTGACCTATTTTCCAGTGGGCAAGCACAGAAGCAATGCCCACGGCGCCCACATGGCTCCAGAGAGGGACATGTTGTCCCCACGTGCCCTCAGCAGGTTTCAGATACCCTCCCAGGATCCTCCAGTCTGTTCTCTAGCACATCCAAAAGCCAGTACAGCGACTCAAGCACTGCTTTACCCCCAGCATCCACTGGAACCATGACTCACCTCAACCGTTTACCAATGAAATTCGCCTCTACTCACCTTTCTCTTACTTCTGCAGGGCTTTCCTGGGCCTCCTGGACCGAAGGTGAGGGCCCGTCTGGGAGATACGCTGAGGGCGGGGGGTCGGGGAGAACGTTCCCTGAATGAGGAGGAACTGGCAGTACTGAAGGTGCTCCTTGAGGAGCTGAGAGGGAGCTCAGCTGAGAGACGGACCATGCTTGGCTCATTTCCAAAATGCCACCTTCTTGGGAAGTGATTGGGTCTCACAAAGATTGAAGGTTTGTGTGCTCAGCCGACCAAGTCTTATGGCTGGTGTGGAAGGTGCGGTCCCAGCTCCAAGGATCTCACAGTCTAGTTTGAAACTGAAGGTTGATGTTGAGGATGTTATTACAACATCCCAATAAAAGGGCGTTTCATAAGGGGTCAGAACTGGAAGGGACCTTCGGGGTCATCTGGTCTCTTCTGAAACCTTGTCTGGAAGCTCTTGATATCAAACAGACACCCCCTTTGAAACTGAGGGACCCTCGGGCTCTGAGGATAATTTGCAAAGCCTGACCATTTTACAAATGTGGAAGCTGAGGGTCCTGGGGCAAAATGACTGGTCCAAGGGTTCAACAGAAAATCAGTAGTAGAACCAAAACTGCAGCTCAGGCCTCCTGCCACATTGACCCTTCCCAAGGAGATCCCTGTGTCTCTGCAAGGCAGGGGCTTGTTCTGAACAGCAGAACAGCCTCTGTTATTGTTCCAGCAGTGGCTGGGGGTGGAGGTCAGGAGGATTTAGACATGTGGAGGGGGGGATGGGAACTTGAAGGGAACAGCAGGAGCTGGGGTTTGACACTAGGAAAACCCCTCTAACTGTCCTCTCTTTGTTCCCCCAGGGAGACCCGGGGATCCAGGGCTACCACGGCCGGAAGGTAAGAAGCGGGGATGGGAAGACCCCACCCCCCCCATGGTAATCCAAGTGTGGTCTCACCATGGTGCACGCAGGGTCCAGTCTTGGTCATGCACACCGCATACTGCGCACACACTCACCTAGCATGAGCCTCATAATGCTTGTGAAATTTGCTGGACAGGGATCTTCTCTCCACTTGGGGGAGCAGGGGGCTGATGGGGGGCAGGGGCTTAGGCAGATCAGTGGTCCAGCTGGACCTCTGTGGCTATCTCTGTACCAAAGCACCTCGGGTTCGCCAGGCAGAGCTCTGTGCTGAGCATTGTTGGGAAAATGGGAGTAGGGACCCAGCCCTGCTCTCTGGCAGCTCAAGGACCAGAGAGATGGAATTCCTGCACAAAAAAAAAAACCCTGGTGAAGGACACTGTGCTAACTGCTACCATCATAAAGCACTATGTGAATATGGGGGATGCAGATATTAATTCCAGGCTGGCAGGAGTTTGGGAAATCTTCTGGGAGGCAACAGCCTATGAGCTCAGTTGTGGTGAATGGGTAGGTGTATCAGTTATCTATTGCTGCGTAACAAACCATCCCAAACTTACTAGTTTGAAATGATGGTTTATTTCTCACGATTCTGTGGATTGGCGGTCGGGGAGTACTGCTGGTCTCCCCTGGGCTCACTCATGCAGTCACATTGGATGACGGATGGAAAGGCCAGAGGGGCCGAGACAGCTCCGTCCACATGTCTGGTAACTGGCGCTGGCCATGGGCTGGGTGCCTCTGTTCTCCACTTGGCCTCTCAGCCCCAAGTGGAATAATTAGCTTTCCTTACAGCATGGCAGGCCCAACACAGTGTCCAAAATGGGCAAGTCTCAGTGCACTTGCATCACATTTTCTGCTGTCCTGTTGGTCAAAGCAAGCCACATGGCCAAGTCATGTGAGGTAGGGGAGGGGATTCAGCTTCCACTTCTGTTTGTGGAAGGGGTGGCAAAGCATTTGTGGCCATTTTTAATCCACCACAGTGGTTCTTCAATCAGCGATGTCAAGGGAAATGGCATTTTAGACAGGGAAACAACTTGAATCAAGGCCCGAAGTGGTCATTTCAGGAACTATAATAACATAAAAATAATCTTAATAAAAGTCACCACTTGATGAATGCCTACCATGTTGCCAGGCTGTCCTTCAAAGTGACCTGCATTATTTCTGATCCTAAGGCCACCCTGAGAGGCTGGTACTCTTCTTCTTCTATTTACAAATGAGAAAACTGAATACACCCAAAGTCCCTTGACTCATAAGTGACAGGGCAGGAACGCATGTCCAGGTCTGGGCCCTTCTCATGGTACCACCTGTTACTGGCTGGGAAGCCACTGGGGCTTTCCTTGCAGGAGAAGAAAGGAGGCAGGAAGGAAAGAAGGACATGGAGGGGGAGGGGTTTGGAAAGGGAAGAATCACTCCTGAGAAGCACATTATTCCGTGTACTCTAATCCAGCGGCTGCCATGACCGCACTGTTTTATGGGTGCTTGGTGGGTGAAATGGCGAGACCTGAGAGTTCTGTAATTAGTTCTGCATAAACTGAGAAGTTTGTATTGTGTCAGGAAGTGGAAATTATAGCCCCCGCGGTTGCCTCCATCCACTCACACAGACTCACAAAATTTACTGCCTCCTGGTGCAGAGCAGGGTCGGTTTTCCCATTAGCAGCCCCACTAGTTCTTTCAAGCTGTGAAAAAACTACAGGGCCGGCAGAGGTTTCCCTGCGACTGTGGCGATGCCCAAAACCAACATCCACACCATGGCGGTGTCTGCAGTCTCCTGCCATCCAGGAGTCTGGTTCGTCCAGAAGAGAGCTTGGGCTTTGTTGTCCTGAGAGGGCTCAGCTTAGGACTGGCGTGTCATGATGATAGAGGCCCTGGTCCCATGAGCGTGGCAATCCTGGGCTCAGGCTTGGGACAAATCATTCAACCCTGACTGCATTGAACTTACAGGGGAAACCATTGTGGCCTTGCTGACAGAGGGCAACTCCTGGTTCCTCAGAAGCCTGCCCTGGGGAGAAGAGGCCCAGGGCTGCGGCATAAGGCTCCAGCATGCAGAGGGGAGTGCACTTCTTCCACATGACTGGGGTAGAGCCAGCGCTGATGGGTTCCTTTGGAGGGAGGGAGGCCGCGGTTCCCGGAGGTATTCGGGTAGAGGCTTGATAACTATGGGCCTGGCACGTGTTGAGAAGCTCCTATGTCAGACGAAAGACTGGATTAAAACCCCTTCCAGCTCAGGGGAGCTACAGCTTCCTGGGGACAGAGTTGGCGCCACACCCCTGAGAGAAGAGCAGCTCTGGCTTTGTAAGGAGTCTTGGTCTCCTTGAGTCTGTGTCCAGGTCATCCTTCACCCACGGCCAGGCTTGTCACCAGCATTGCCACTTCCAGACCTCACGAGGAACTGAGGAGGCCCTTCTTCTTCGCGCTTGGCTCTTGCTCCTCACCCTTTCTTTCTCTGCCACACTGTCCCCTCTGCCCTTCCACAGTGGCCTCTCGTGGGATCTGCAGGGGCCATGTAGCTGGCAGCTCCCTCTCCCTGCCTCTCAAGGTTTCTGGAAGGCTCCTATTGCCTCTACTTCTCCCAGCCTGTCCTTGAGCCTGGTCAGTAGCTGCTCCTGGAGCCACCAGGCAGCCTCAGAACCCACATCTCTGTGCTGGCCCTCACTCTGCTGGGACCCTTGTTCTGTCATCACTTCAGCCACGGCCTCCTCATCCAACAAAGCCCAGAGGGTATGCACTGGGCACTGGTGGCCAGAAGCAGAGGGTTTGCCCCTACTGACTTGAGGCCATTCCCCAAGGTCAGGCAGCTCTCAGGAGGCTCCAAGGGCCTGTCCCACTGGCCCTGGGGCAGTGGGCATCTTGACTTCAGTGGTCACCGTGCCTGGGCAGAAGTTTGCTTCTCATCAGAACTCTGAGATGATGAGACGAGCACTCAAGGACAAGTGCAGCAATACTTTATGTCTCTGGTTTAGCCAAAGACCATTCATTCCCCATCCCACTGAGCCCTTACCACGGCCCAGCTCATTATCCTCACTGTTCAGATGAGCTCAGATGTCAATACTTTGCCCAAGGTTGCGCAGCTGGTGAACAGTCCTCTGGAACTGGAAGCTAGGTCACATGAGCCTGAGCCCGGAGGCCGGCCTGCTCGCCCTGGTGCAGAAGTGAGTGTCTCCTCAGGGGCTCTCACCCAGGCTGAGCTAACTGTGCACAGAGCCCTGTCTTCTGTGGTTTCTCTGCAACATAGAGGATTCTCCCCAAAGCACCGTTCCTTGGGTCATCATTTCTCTCTTTTTCTCTCTTCTCCCCTCTCTGCTCCGTGCTTAGGGTAAGGCACAGTAAGGAAGCTCCAACAGGAAGGGTGGCCTGATCATAGGAGCTGAGAAGAGTTTGCTCCCCACCCCAGGGAGGAGTGAGCACTGGCAGGTGGGAACACAGAGCTGGGACAGGGGCCAGGCTGTGAGGGGGACCCGTGGAGTAACCAAGAGACCCTCCACATCTGCTTCCATTGCTGTGCACCAACGACTTGATATGCATGCAGGGAGGCCTTCCTTTCGGCTTGGGGTGGAATTTAACTTTCAGCAAAGATGTTTCTCAGCCCATGAACTTTGCTAATGATTAGCTCCATCCACCAACCATCACCATCCCAGCAACTGGACCCAACCTGGCAGCGTCTCAAAGGCTAGCCCAGCCCAGCCAGCAGGGCAGGCTTCTCCACCAGCTCTTTAGGATCAAAGCCCAGCACGGCCAGCAGGCCCCATGCTACCCCAGCCCTACTCAGGGCCAGCCCCGCTGCCTGGACACTGCGGGCATTGTAGTGTGCCCATGTGGTACCTATTTGATCCAAATGCATTACACCGATCTTCTTTAAATATGTTGTAAGACGCAAAGTGTGTTTAAACCATTACAACCTTGGCTCTCTTTCAAGAGGATTGACGAGTATTGTCAGACTATATGTGAATCACAAACCTGGTGAGAACTTATCTCTAAGCACGTCGGAGCTGGTCAGTCTGTCTCAGCAGTGGGGGGTGCGTTTGATGCACGTGGCAGTCTGGGTGTTAAGCCTCCAGGTTTACATGGAGGACCGTGGCTGAGCACACATTCCCTTTCTGCTCAGGGCTGTGCGTTCTCAGACCAGAGGAGGCGGGATCTGAGAACTTCGTGATAGAGCAACTGGTAACTGCAGTCACCCTTCCCAGAGGCTGTGGGGATCCCCAGAAACAGGGGCTCCCACGGGAAGAGGTCCGAAGCACCCTGTGGTTGGATGGCCAGGGCCCTGGGGTGAAGGTGTAAGGAGCAGAAGCTCACCCAGCCAGCCCCTCTCGGTCTTCATTTCCTGGCCACGCCAGCCCTTCTCCTCACTGCCCCTTGGCCCTTCCACACAAGGGCATGTTCATTCTGATCTGCCAGTCAGGGCAAGGGGCCATGTGGATGGCATGCTTCTGTAGAATGGTAATTAGTATTATTATAGGTGACTTATGAGGCCTCTTCCAACATGCCAGTTTGATTATGTGGCACTTTTCATGTATGACCTTACTAGATCTTTATAACAACCCTGTGAGGTAGATTTTATTCTTATCCCCAATGGACAGATGAACAAACAGGTTCACAGAGGTGAACACCCAAAGGTCCACAGCTAGGAAATAGTGAAGTCAGTTCTGTCTGACCCCAAAGCCTTGCTCTGAATGACTACTATCTGGGTCTTATGAGCCCTGGGGGTCCCCATGATTTCTAGTAAGCAGTCCTTGCTCCCCTAGAAGGAAAGGAGGTGAGTATTGAGCTGTTTTCCTCCTTGTAAGAAAAAGGTTGTGACTGGATTTGGGCCTTCCTCTGAACCTCCAAAGCTCTCTGTGAGCAGTACCCGGAGCATCTAAGGCAGAGGATGTGGAGTACTTGGTGCATTTTAGTCAAAGAACCAAGGAAGGGTAGTGTTTTCCCCATTGGCACTGACTTCACCTGAATGCTTCCTTCAGGGAGTTGGCACGGTCCCAGGACTTC